CCTCTCGACCAGTCAATTTAAGTTAGAGAATGAATATTTAGTGGTTAAAAATGTTTTGGGTCTAGTTTTGATCTTGAGAAGTGCCCCAATAGTCGAGAGCTTGAGTACACGAATTTGAAGTTGCATTTAAAGTGCAAGAAAGTGTAGTTTTCAACGTATCAAAATGTCGGCTTTTCGATTGAGAACCTATTCTAAAACTATCAAATTCGTGCTCAGCGCCGTCGATTACCCCAAGAAAAGTGAAAAAATCAAAAATATAGGTGGCCCAGCAACCACCAAAACACCAGAAGTTTTTCAAACCATTGTAAACAGGGTTGAAAAAAGACTGGCCCGATCCCGCCCTGATCCTAACGTGCTTTTGATTTTATTTCAGTCCAAATTAGATTTTCTATTCATAAGTATTCATAACCGTTTACTAGGAACCTTCTGGTTAGGTCTTTTTGCAAAAAAAGTTGAAAATTTGGTCACAGTTGGGAGTCGAACCCTCGACCCTCGGATCAACCAATCGTCAAGCCCTAGCTAATTTGAAAGCCCTAGCCAGTTTGAATTTGAAAACGGAACAAATCAACAAATGGTCTTCGCTACTGTGTTCCTCTTCAATGCAGCTTTTGAATAAGACCAAATTCGCTCAGATTGATTTAGTTTGAGATCATCTTCCAGCAAATCCACGATTACTTCTTAGCCAGCCTAATAAATACTGGTCTGACCTGATTTCTTCTTTTGCATCAGGTTTTGATCTGTTCGCAAAGCCACCACGAAATACAAATACCACATAGTTCGCAAATTTCAGCACAGAGTTATCGCCTCCAAAGCCAACGGAACCCGTTCTCATGTAGTAGTTGTCATGTGACCGGCTCTGTGATTCCAGCCAAGCATTCACATAGTCTGCCGGTAGAACAGCGACTTGCTTCCTGATTCTGAAAATTACAGAAAACATTGCAAGTCAAAGTTTAATTCAGAAGCTTTTCGCGGTTCCTTTCCGTTATACATCCACAAAAATAACCCCTGATCATCAATCAATGAGGAATCAATGAGCAATCCATGCCGTAGCATATTGTTGCAAAATTCGTAGAAATAGTCCTTTCCCACTTCTCGTCGAACCATCAATTTAGCGAGGTAGTTCGGTAGGAAATGACGTGCCGCGATGTTTCTTGTTTCTCCATACGTGTTGTACCTATTGACACGAGCATGGGTAAAGCCGGCCTCCTCCATCTGTTCAGTATTGCATCCTCGCCAACAATGGGAGTCAATGTAGGTTCCCGGCTCGATGTGATCAATCATCGCTTCCAATAGGGTCGGTCACCTCGACCAGAAAACATTCCTTGGTTTCCCGGCAAACTCCTCTAGATATCCACAAATTTTCATGGAAGGAGGCAAATTTGGCGGATTTATAACGGAAAAGAACCCTTTTCGCGTTGATCGTGAGCTAAAACTTACATATCATCCGTGTTAACTAAAAGTTTATAGATTTCCGAAGCCATTCGCTGCATTTTCTTTTGTTGTTCATACTGGGTGCTGCTCCATGTCCAATCCTTTTGATCCTCTTGAGCTCCGTGATGCTCGCCCATCCAATTTCGAATTCTTTCCTCTTCTTCGAGCTTTTGGATCCAATTTGCCTAAAAGCTTCCTGTCCCTGCTCCCTCTCGTGGATTTACTAACAACTTTTTTTTCGCAATACCTTTAACTATACGTAAAAACTCACCCGTGTGCCTGTGTAGCATCCAACATTGAGAACGACTTCACCTTTGTACACCCATTTACGCCGCGATCCACAAGTGATAGTTTTTGTGTCTGATGGAAAATCCATCTTGTGGTTGATCTGAAAAACATTTTTGAGGATAAACTGAAAAAGAAACTCCCACTCGAACCAGCGGGAAATGGTCTGGATCAGCAGTGCATGTGAATGTTCGTTGGATCCAAAAATATTTACTGTAATTGAGTGATGAAGATAAAATGAGAAGGGTTGTCTCTAGCGACCAAAAAGACTTGAGCCAAGGGCCGGACCATGGCTGCGGGCAAGCCTTGATCGAGTTCGAGCTCATGAAGGTTTTCACCGGGCCGAGCGCGGGAAAGTTTTCACGAAACACGCTTACTTAGACGTCTCATCGCTCCTAAGGTTTCTCCAGTTGCCACCAGCCAAATGAATTTGAATGTTTTGACTCTGGTTCTTGCAATCTTCCATCCATTCTAAAAGACAGCTGGTAGACGAGTTGGGTAACAAAAAAAAGAACAAAGTTATCGATCGAAACAAACTCACCATCATTTGCTGTCACAATTTGTGCCAGTGAAGCCACAAGCAAGAAAACGAATTCTTCCTTCATTTACAACTAAAAAGCAAATTTTTGAAAATGTGAATTGTAAAAAGAGAAAGTTTAGTATAAAAACGAGAAATTGTTGAAATAAATATAAAAAAATTTGATGAGAAAATGAAGTCGTCAAATGAAATTTCAAAATCTATGTTGTGAGAATGATTCGATTCTAAAAGAATTTTTTTGGTAGAATCATACATTTTTCTTCTTTTTTTTCTAATAATATTCAGCTCAAAATAATTTAATGGAAAAATGAGAAGAGAAGTTTTAGCGCTTTTACGACAAACTTCAGTGCAAACTGTATCTGAGTTGCCATATTTTTGCTTAAAAAATAAATACTTTATTCTAAAATAAGATCAAACACCTGAATTTTGAGCTCAGCTTTTCAATGAAGCAGTTACCTAAGACTAACACAAAGCTTTGCGGTTCTAACGTGATAAAGGTCCCTTCCAAATTATTAGGCTGGAAAGAAAGTTCTCGGAATAAATTTGGCTGGAATTTCATTAAAATGAATCCACGAATGCTTGGCGCATACTTTATAGTTACTTCAGTATATTAAGTGGTATTAGGTTGGAAAGAAAATTCTCGGAAAAATTTGTGATTAAGTCCAATTTGATCCAATGCTTTCACTTTTCAGAATCACCTATAACACTCAGTGTCAAGAAGGTGACACCCAAATTATTTTTTGAAAAAGCTTCTCTGTTAAAATCTTTTGGCTAAAAATAGAGATTATAGAGCGTTTTGCTCATTTATGCTAGCTTTACCTCATAAGGAATCGTTTTTCTGCTGCAAAAAGTGAGCTTAATTTAAACTGGAAAATAATCATTTTTGCAAAATCTCTAAAATTTTACGGAGCTGCACTCATTTTTTTCGAGTAATTTCTTGGAGTCGACTTGCAAATAATAGAACAAAATGATCATGAATTGGTGGATTCGTTTTCAAGAAATTGCAGTCAAACTTTTTCCAAGAACTTTCTTTCAAACCTAATAGATACTTAAAATCACCAGAAATTACTGATTTGACGTATTTGAACTATTGAAATAAGCAGGCATGAAGTCAAAAGAAGAAGCACAAAGATTTTCATTGCTCGTTTTAAATATTACTAGCAAAATCACATCAGTGATTTTGCTGGTTATTTGGAAACATTTTTACGTTTTAAAGGAAGCTGAATGGAATTAATGAAATAAAATTGAGAAAACTATTTTAAAGATGTGAATGTAATCAATTATTGTTCAATTTTAAAATGTCAACCACATGAAAAGTCATTTAAAAATTTAGGGACTTTTTTAAGGCCGCATTTCTTTTTTCATGTTTTCTTGCGTTACTTGGAATCTTTTTCATGTATTCCTTTATTCAAAAGATATCAAGCCGTTAAATGCACAACACAAACATCTCCACATGCAGCCGCACATGGGTAACTCCACATCTTCATCTCAGTAATCATCCAATCACCAGATGCTCCATAGAGATAAGTGCACGTTTTGTGATTTGCCCCTTTTCGAAAAACAGTCACAATGTCGATACGTCCTTGCCATTTATCACCATAAGTCGCTGCAAGCTCTGCTAGCGATTGGATCTCGTCATGTCGTTCTCGCGATTGAAAAGGGTCTTGAAAGTAACGTCTAAAATAAAGTATTGCCTCAATTCTGACTCTGACTAGTGATCGCCAGCTTAAATTTTAAAGCAAAGAAATGTAAAGAAGTTTTTCAAACCATTGTAAACAGGGTTGAAAAAAGCCAGGGCCGATCCTGACTCTGGCGTAATTTTGATTTTATTTCAGTCAAAATTACATTTTCTATTGATAAGTATTCATACTCGTTTACTAGGAACTGTTCAAGAACACCTTTAATCTAAATTTTCAAAAAAGTATTTGGGTTTGCGGCCCGACCTTGGTTATACCAAGCTAGTCCATAATATTAGGCTAACAAGTAATGACGGATTGACTGACAGATGGCCTTAAACTTAACCAAACTTAACGAGTTTGGTCTTATTCGAAAGCTGTATGTATTCAACAGGAGCACAGTAGCGAAAACCATTTTTTGATTAGTTCGGTTTTAAAATTTTGATAAGCATTTAAGTGAGCTCGGTCAGACCAAAAAAGTGTCAAAACCACATTTCGTCAATTTTTGGGTTAAAAATCTAGGCTAAAAATGTTTTTTGTGATCAGTAAAATTACCTTAGATAGCGTAAACTTTGGTCTTTTTGCAAAAAAAGTTCAAAATTTGGTCACAGCTAGGAGTCGAACCCTCGACTCTCGCTTCAACGATTCGCAAAATCGCCCAGCTAAGATTTAGTGATCCCGAAATGTGATTTTGACACTTTTTTGGGTACCAAGCTGACTAAGCGCCATTTAAATGCTTATAAAAATTTGAAAACGGAACGAATCAACAAATGGTCTTCGCTACTGAGTTTTTCTTGAATACAGCTTTCGAATAAGACCAAAGATTGGCTTAGTTTGAGACCAGCTCCCAGCAAATCCACGATTACTTATTAGCTAGCCCAATAAATCCTCGTCTGACCTGATTCCTTCTCTTGCATCAGGCTTTGATCTATCCGGAAAGCCACCACGAAATACAAATATCACATAATTCTCAAACTTCAACACAGAGTTATCGTCTCCAAAGCCAACGAAACGCGTTCCCATGTAGTAGTTGTCCTCTGAGGAAGCCTGTTTTTCCCCATAAGCATTCACATAGTCTGCCGGTAGAACGGCGACTTGCTTTCTAATTCTGAAAATCACAGAAAACATTGCAAGTCAAAATTTTTTCCAGAAACTGAGCGGTTCCTTTGCGTTACACATCCGCAAAAATAACCCCTGATCATCAATCAATGAGGAGTCCATGCCGTAGCAATTTGTTGCAATGTATAACGGATGTATAACGGCAAAGAACCCTTTTCACTTTGATCGTGAACTAAAACATACGTATCGGTGTCAACTAAAAGTTTATAGATTTCCGAGGCCATTTCCTGCATTTTCTCTTGTTGTTTATACTGGGTGCTGCCCCATGTCCAATCCTTTTGATCCACTTTAACTCCGTGATACTCGGCCATCCAACTTCGAATCCTTTCCTCTTCTTCGGGCTTTTGGGTCCAATTTGCCTAAAAGCTTGCTGTCGCAAGAAAATTTTCAAATGGCTGACCACCTTTAATACCTTTAACTAAACCTATTTGCCTTTAATTAACGGAAAAACTCGCCCGTGGACCCGTGTAGCATCCGACAGAGAGAACGACTTCACCTTTGTACAACCATTTACGCTTCGATCCACAAGTGATAGTTTTTGTCTCCGACGGTGAATCCGTCATGTTGTTTATCTGAAACACGCTTTTGAAGATAAACTGAAAAAGAAACTCCCACTCGAACAAACGCGAAATCGTCTGCATCAGCGGTGCACGTGAGCCTTCGATAGACCCCATAATATCGACTGTAATTGAGAGATGAAGACAAGATGAGAAGGGTTTTCTCTAACGACCAAAAGCCCTGAGACAAGGGCCGGATTATGGCTCGGAGCAAGCCTTAATCGGGTCCAAGCTCATTAAGATTTTGACCGTGCCGGGCCCGGAAAATCTTTCACGAAACAACTCTTACTGAGACGTCACATCACTCGAAAAGTTGTTCCATTTGCCATCAGCCGAATGAATGACAATTTTTTCACTCTGGCTGTTGCACTCTTCAATCCATTCTAAAAAATAGTTATTAGACGAGTTGGGTAACAAAAAAAAAGAACAAAGTAATCGATCGAAACAAACGGACCTTTATTTAGTGTCACAATTTGTGCCAGTGAAGCCACAAACAAGAAAACGAATTCTTTCTTCATTTACAGCCAACTGAATAACAAATTTTTAAAAATGTGAATTGTAAAAAAGAGAAACTTTAGTTTAAAGATGAGAAGTTGTTCAAATCAATACTAAGACTTTGGAATTTCTTTTGACGACTTCATTTTCTGATCAAATTTTTATGTTCTTATTTCAAGGCCTATGTTATGACAATGATTCGATTCAAGAAGAATTTGTTTGATATAATCATACGTTTTTTTCTTTTTTGCCGAAATAAGTTAATGGAAAAACGAGAAGAAAAATTTTAGCGCTTTTACGACAAACTGTAGTACCAGTGCAGTATCTGAGTAGCCATGTTTTTGTTTTATATGTCTCAGCCGCTAGTTTTTCAATCATCATCGGCTAGCCGCAAGTGATTGAAAGTTTTTTAACGAAACATTTGAAATGCAATGCAGATTTATCTCACATGCAAATAAAAAGTTAGGTTAATCGGACCAAATATTTTAGCACCTCAAGAGGTAACTTCTGTTGCCTAATTCGAAAGATTATGTCATCTAACTGAACGTAAATTTTGATTAATATTTTTACTTTATGAATTACAAGTTTTATTCACTTTTCAACAATTTATTGCAAACATATAATAAGCAAACAAGCTCAACAACAAAAAAAATTAATTAACAACTTCCCTAAGGTACATCGTGACATCGACTGTTGCACAAAACGTTCGACCTGTGGCATACACATCGACCATTTACGTATCCAAATCCTCATCTGGTATTGATTGCAAATCGATCAGATCCACTTGGACCCGCTTTGTTGTTTGGTGATGATTGGCTTGACAACGACTCCTTTTTTTCGGCGTGCCTTTCTTCAATTCACATTCAGGACAGAGCTTGACAAAAATCTCGATGATATCCTGAGATATTCCATGATATTCCCTTAGTGCTTTCCACATCATGTCCCTTCCAGCGTGTCCATGATCCTTGTGTGTTTTGATCAATAGTTGAAAGAGATTTTCCTTGATAATCACTCGTTTCATTTCTCCGGTTCTTCCAATGTTGTAGATGACGTCCAGATCGTTCTCCTTTTGCAAAGTGAAGCGCGCCAACAAAAAATTTATTTCTTCAGGAGTCCTTTTTCCTTTTGTATCTTCACTGGTTATTCGTTTGATCGTTTTCACAATTTCGGCGTGTTTTGTGACATCGGGAATCTAATTGTATTTCTTCGTAGATTGATGTTGCGTAAGGCGATCGACAAATTTACTTTCCATTTCTAAAAAAATAACTAGAAAAGTTGCAACGATACACGAGATAAATCGAAAAAAGAAACGATTGAAACAATTTGAGAACAGAAGTTACCTCCCGAGGTGTTAAAGTATTTGGTCCTATTAACCTAACTTTTTTATTAGCATGTGAGATAAATCTGCCTTGTATTCCAAATGTTTCATTTAAAAAACTTTCAATCACCATCGGTTAACCGATAGTGATTTTCTTGAATTTTGGTCTCTTTGAAAATCAAATCAATTGTTGAATCAAGTGCCTTGTTTCTCTTATATATTTTCTAAAGTTTTTTTTGTTTGATTTCGATCTTTCTGAGTTGTATTTTATTCCCATTTGCACATTTTAGTAAGATGAAACCTATTTTGGTTGGAAAGAAAGTTCTCGGAAAAAGTTTGACTCGAATTTCTTAGAAACGAATCCACGAATGCTTGGCGTATACTTTATAGTTAATTCAGCGCATTAAACAAAGTGGTATTAGGTTGGAAAGAAAGTTCTCGAAAAAAGTTTCCACGGTGATTTCTCAAAAGCCAAGCCATTGCAGATTTTTTGATAAATTTGTCCATATTTCAAAAAGTTTTTGACAAAAAAATCAGGGTGAGCTTCAGGTGAAAAATAAGAGATTTTTTCAGCTGAAGTGATTTGGTCACTTTTTGAGTGACCAGCCTTTAGACAAGTGGGTTAATGAATAGGCAATGGGTCCCATTTCAAAACCTAAAATGAAGTACTTAAAATAGGGAAAATTTGTGATTAAGGCAAATTTGATCTAATGCTTTCACTTTTCAAAATCACCTATTTTAGCAAACACTCAGTGCCGAGAAGATGACATCAAAAAATGATTTTTTGAAATACAGCTTCTTTGTTCTGTTTGGGCAAAAGTAGAGTTTATAGAGCGTATTGCTCATTTATGCTAGCTTTACCTCATAAGGGATCATTTTTCTACTACAAAAAGTGAGCCGAATTTAAGCTAGAAAATAATAATCTTTGCTAAAATCTCTAAAATTTTAAGGGACAGCTCTTTTTTTACGAGTAATTTCTTGGAGGCGACTTATAAATACCGTATTCTCCCTAATAGTAGTGCACTCTTTAATAGTATTGCGGTCCGAGAGGGGGTTGAAAAAATAGTAGTGCAGACTCGAAAATCTGGATTTATAGTGCTTCTTTTTCATCTAAACCTTTTTGACTTTATGTTTATGTGACATTCTAAAGCTATTCAAGCAAGCAAAAGTGAGGCTTTTTTCATTCATTTATTAACTATTCTTCACATGAGAAAGTTAGCAAAAAATCTAAAATGGCTGTGCAAAGTGCAAAAACATCTTTTTGTTATTTCCACACATTGTTTTAGTGGTCCACACATTTTCACACATTAACTCAAATTCGCTTACGAAGTTCGCGCAAAGCTATAGTCACTTTTTGCTCTTATATACCTGTATAAAGTTTGAGAATTGATTTACCTTTTGCGGCGCTAAGCTTTATTGTTATCAAAACTCAATCCTAGAAAATAATCCATCATGTTCGCTTTTAATATTATATAATTTTTGTTGGTCACCTTTACTATTGTCTAAATAATCTTTTTCTTTAAGTATGGATCTCGATGGGAACTCGCTTGATGAATTCGAAAATTTTCGAGCTCGTCGTGAACACGAGGAACATGTGGAATTCTTCAAGAGGATTGACAATCAAGTGGCCGAGCAAAATGCCGGCTACAACATGACCAACGATGTTGCCGAGGAGTCTTCGTGTGACTCGGATGCACCATCCGCGAAAATTCGCGATGCTTTGCCATTCAAACAAAGCCGAAAGCGATTGATTTTGCTGAAAAAATAAAGGAAAAGTTGGCTGCAGCGCGGAAATTTGGAGTCAGTCGTCAAAATATTCCAAAAATGGTGTGAGCAAAAGGAAGAATTCGAGGAACAAAACAGAGATAACGGAAAAGGAAAAAAGCGAATCAAAGGGGGTGGACGAAAGCTCAAGGATGTCGATTTTGATAAGAATCTTGTTTCTTTCTTGAACTATTGAAATAACCAGGCATGAAGTCAAAAGAAGCACAAAGATTTTCATTGCTCGTTTTGTGATTTTGCTGGTTATTTGGAGACATTTTTCGGTTTTAAAGGAATCTAAATGGAATTAATGAAATCAAATTGAGAAAACTATTTTAAAGCTGTGAATGAAATCAACCATTGTTCAATTTTAAAATGTCAACTACATGAAAAGTCATTTTAAAATTTAGGGACTTTGTTTTAAGGCCGCATTTCTTTTTCCCTGTTTTCTTGCGTTACTTGGAATCTTTTTCATGTATTCCTTTATTCAAACGACATCAAGCAGTTAAATGCGCAACACAAACATCTCCACATCCAGCTGCACATGGCCGACTCCACGTCTTCACCTCAGAAATCATCCAATCACCAGATGCTCCATAGAGATAAGTGCAGGTTTTGTGATTAGCTCCTTTTCGAAAAACAGTTAAAATGTCGATACGTCCTTCCCATTCATCACCATAAGTCGCTGCACGCTCTGCTAGCAATTGGATCCCGTTGTGTCGTTCTATCCCATTGAGACCATCTTGAAAGTAATCACTAAAATAAAGTGGTATCTCAATGCTGACTATAACTAGTGATTGACAGCTCCAGTTTTAAGGCAAAGAAATTTAAAGAAGTTTGGTACTTTGATGATTAGGGGCCGCCTATATTTTTGATTTTTCCAATTTTCTAGGGGTAATCGAGGGCGCTGAGCACGAATTTGACCCTTTTAGCATAAGATAATAAACTAATCAACATAAATTTTTAGCATTTCAACTAAAAGAACCAACATTTCGACACGTTTAAAATTACGCTTCTAAGCGCTATTCAGGTTGGGAAGGGGGGCACATTTTTTCGTCAAAACCACTTCTTCTCGGGTAGCTTTATGCGTAGATTCCGAAAAACACAACTAGAGCTTGGGAGAATGCGTTTGAGTCCAGTTTTGGGGCTCCAAAGTGCATAATATAACCTACTGATTACGTTTCTGCTCAAATTGAAGCGAAATAAAAAAAGTTTTTGCAAATTTCGACCATTTGGTCCCCCACATGAGTCAAAATCTCAAAAAAATAATTTTTCAATTTGCTTTTCCTCTCTACCAGTCAATTTAGTTAGAGAATGAATATTTAGTGGTTAAAAATTTTTTGGGTCTAGTTTTGACCTTGAGAAGTGCCCCAATAGTCGATAGCTGGAGTACACGAATTTAAAGTTGCATTTAAAGTGCAAGAAAGTGTAGTTTTCAGCGTGTCGAAATGTCGGCTTTTCGATTGAGAACCTATTCTAAAACTGTCAAATTCGTGCTCAGCGCCGTCGATTACCCCAAGAAAAGTGAAAAAATCAAAAATATAGGTGGCCCAGCAACCACCAAAACACCATTGTGGGTTGTGCCGAAAAAAGTCAGGCCCGATCCCGGCCTGATCCTAACATGCCTTTGATTTTATTTTTACCTCAAAATTACATTTTTTTATTGTCTCAATTTTGACTCTGACCAGTGATCGCCAGCTTAGGTTTTAAAGCAAAGAAATGTAAAGAAGTTTTTCAAAACATTGTAAACAGGGTTGAAAAAAGTCAGGGCCTTTTGATTTTGAGTCAGGGCCTAACGTACTTTTGATTTTTCTTTTAAGCCAAAATTACATTTTTTTATTTATAAGTATTCATAACCATTTACCAGGAACTCTTTAAGAACAACCGCGAAGAGCGAAAACCATTCTTTGAGTCGTTCGGTCTTAATATCTTTAAAAGCATTTAAGTGCGCTCGGTCAGATCGAAAAAAGTGTCAAAATCACATTTCGACGATTTTTTGGTTAAAAATCTAGGCTAAAAATATGTTTGTTCACGGGGTACGATTTTCACAATAGACACCCCAACTTTGGATGCGTTTTTCTTGTGTGTTTTTGAATATGGGCAAAACTGAATACAGCATCAGATTCACCGTGTCCGATTGGCGTTTGCATTTCAACGGCGTGAATATCTGCTACGACGATTTTGTGGCATCTCCTTGCTAGGTCTTTTTGGAAAAAAAAAATTGAAAATTTCGTCACAGTTGGCAGTCGACCCCTCGACCCTCGGATCAACGAATCGCCAGGCCCCAGCTAAAATTTAATGGTCCTGAAATGTGATTTTGAGACTTTTTTGGGTACCAAGCGGACTGAGTACCATTTAAATGCTTATAAAAATTTGAAAACGGAACAAATCGACAAATGTTCTTCGCTACTGTGTTCCTCTTGAATACAGCTTTTGAATAAGACCAAAGATTGGCTTAGTTTGAGACCAGCTTTCAGCAAATCCACCATTACTTATTAGCTAGCCCAATAAATCCTCGTCTGACCTGATTCCTTCTCTTGCATCAGGCTTTGATCTCTCCGGAAAGCCACCACGAAACACAAATATCACATAATTGTCAAATTCCAGCACAGAGTTATCGTCCCCAAAGCCAACGAAGCGCGTTCTCATGTAGTAGTTGTCCTCTGAGAAGGGCAGATTCTCCGGATAAACATTCACATAGTCTGCCGGTAGAACGGCGACTTGCTTTCTGATTCTGAAAAGCCCAGAAAATATTGTAAATCAAAGTTTTTTTAGAAACTTTTTGCGGTTCCTTTCCGTTATACATCCACAAAAACAACCCCTGATCATCAATCAATGAGCAATCCATGCCGTAGCAGTTTGTTGCAACACCGTTTCGTAGAAATAGTCCTTTCACACTTCTCGTCGAATCATCAATTTAGCGAGGTAGTTCGGTAGGAAATGTCGTGCCGCGATGCTTCTTGTTGCTCCATTTTGCCCCTAGACGCTAGATCGTCTGCGTGTGAATGGCAGGGTCATCCGGATTCAAGAAGTTGTACTTGTTGTACTTATTGACATGAGCGTGGGTAAAGCCGGCCTCATTCATCTGTTCAGTATTTCATCCTCGCCAACAATGGGAGTCAATTTAGGTTCCCGGCTCGATGTGTTCAATCATCGCTTCCAATAGGGCCGGTCACCTCGACCAGAAAACATTCCTGGGTTTCCCCGCAAACTCCTCTAAATATCCACACTTGCGGCCAGATTCGGCCCACATTTGCCTTTCGCTTCGAGAAGAGAGCCTCGTTCACTTCGTCAATTGGATTGGGTTCTCCAATTTTTCCTCTCAGCTTGTTCACCAGATATTCCACGCAAAGAATCCTAGTTGTTGAAGTCAACCGCGATGATTCATCTCCAATTCTTTCGCACAATAGTTGATCGAGGTCCACCGTTGAGTCCATCCATAATCGTAGGATTGTGAGAAACGGAATTTTGGTGCTCTCCATCCATGAGCCAACACTCAGGTCGATCGCTGTCAAGCACGACGTTTTCTCACATCCGCATTGGGGGTTCTGATTGAGCAATAGCTTCATAACGTGATGGTTGGCGCATGTGCGAGTAGTAAGCAAGATGCGGCGCTGTTGAAAGAACGAGATTGCATCGGCCTCGTTAGTCGGTAAGCGAAACCTGAATCCACCGCGCCCTTAGAAAATAGCGAAAAAATTATTTCATTTGGTTTTCCTTGTTCATTTTCCTGGAAGGATGCAAATTTTGCGGATGTATAACGGAAAAGAGCCCTTTTCGCGTTGCTAGTGAGCTAAAACTTACATATGATCGGTGTTAACCAAAAGATTTTGGATTTCCGAGGCCATTCGTTGCATTTTCTTTTGTTGTTCATACTGGGTGCTGCCCCATGTCCAATCCTTTTGATCCTCTACAGTTCCTTGATTCTCGGTCATCCAATTTCGAATCCTTTCCTCTTCTTCGGGCTTTTGGATCCAATTTGCCTAAAAGCTTGCTGTCTCGAGAAATTTTCAAATGCTTGGCTACCTTTAATACCTTCAACTAAACCTATTTGCAAAGCAACTTACCCGTGGACCCGTGTAGCATCCAACAGTGTCAACGACTTCACCTTTGTGCAACCATTTACGCTTCTTTCCACAATCGATAGTTTTTGTGTCTGACGGTGAATCCATCTGGCCGTTTATCTGAAACACACTTTTGAGGATAAACTGAAAAAGAAACTCCCACTCGAACAAACGCGAAATGGCCTGGATCAGCAGTGCACGTGAACTTTCGATAGACCCCATCCTGTTGACTGTAATTGAGAGATGAAGATAAAATGAGAATGGTTGTCTCTAGCGACCCAAAAGCCCTGAGGCAAGGGCCGGATTATGGCTTGGAGCAAGCCTTAATCGGGTCCAAGCTCATTAAGGCTTTCACCGTGCCGGGCCCCGAAAATCTTCCACAAAACAATGCTTACTAAGACGTCACATCGCTCGAAAAGTTTTTCCAGTAGCCATCAGCCGAATGAATGACAATTTTTTCACTCTGCCTCTTGCACTCGTCAATCCATTCTAAAAAGAGAGCCAGTAGACGAGTTGGGTAACAAAACAAAAAGTTGGGTAACAAAAAAAGAAAAAAGTAATCGATCGAAACAAACGGACCTTCATCTGCTGTCACAATTTGTGCCAATGAAGCCACAAGCAAGAAAACGAATTCTATCTTCATTACAACTGAAAAGCAAATTTTTAAAAATGTGAACTGTAAAAAGAGAAAGTTTAGTATAGGAACGAGAAGTTGTTCGAATAAGCATCAGAAAATTTGATGAGAGAATGAAGTTATCAAGTTGAAATTTTGAATTTAAAGGCCTTTTTTGTGTTTAGACAATGATTCAATTCAAAAAGAATTTTTGATAGAAGTAAACACCTTTTTCCCATTTAAAAATGGTTCAAAATACAGTACCGTGCAAAAGTCTTGCAACATCACTTTTTCAAAAAAATCGATGAAATTTTTTTATAGAAAATGCCACCCGTTCGTAAAGCTTTTTTTGTTTTTGATTAGAATAATATATGTACACTTTATTTACAAAAACAAATTTAAAGTTCAGCGTAAAGCAAAAAAGTAAATGACAAAACTACTAAAAAATACCCTAAAAACTGGGTGCAAAAGTCTTGCAACATTTTATGTTTCTCATTTTTATTGTTTTCAAATTTATTAATTTACACTAATTTTTGTTTTTTTCAGATGCCAGGTACCTACTTGACGACTCCCGAAAGAGAAAAAATCATGAAAGCAAGAAAAAAAGGAATTTCTCGAGCCGTTGTCTGCGATCTCTTCAAATGCGATCCTTCGACCGTTTCTCGCATTGTTTCAAAAGCAAAAACAACTGGACTTATGCACCGAAGAAAGAAGAAAGGACGGCCAAGAAGAACAACAGCAAAAGAGGATCGAATACTTGTGATGGCTTCCAAGAAGGATCCGAACATGACATCAACTGAGGGAGCTCGGCTGATCAAGGATGTTGCAAACAAGGATATCTCTCGATGGACCGTTTCTCGACGATTGACTCAAGCAGGACTGTATAGCCGGCGGGCTGTACGAAAGCCTTTGATGACCGCTGGCCATAGGAAACAACGGCTTCTATTCGCCAGGACGTACCAAAGTTGGACAAAGCAGGATTGGGCCAACGTGATTTTTGTCGATGAAACAAAAGTGGATATCTTTTCTCCAAAAAGGCAACCACTTGATCAGACGACCCATTGGAAAGCGAATACTCCTTAAATATGTGCGACCTACAATGCGAGCTGGCGGAGGATCAATCATGTGTTTTGGTAAGCCTTATTTCTAATACATGCATTAATTTGTCTTTTTCTAGGGGCGATGACAAAAAATGTGGCAGGTCCGCTCGTCCTCGTCCAGTCAACCATGAATGCTCGCCAGTATATGGAAATACTAGAAGGATGTCTACTTCCATTTGCTCAGGATCACATGGCTCCTGAATGGTTTCTCTACCAGGACAACTCGCCGGTCCACAAGAGCAAGCTCATGATGGGTCGCACCGTGAACCTCTCAAATGGAGGAAAAGCTCATCTCCCTGGATGGTTTGCCCTTAATAATGTTTTGTTAGTCAAAGTGCCCCTTATGTCGCCTGATTTAAACGTTATTGAGAATTTATGGGCTTACGTGAAGGCAAAGTTACGAGGAAAAGACTTTCACACAAAAGTTGACTTATGGTTCTACATACGAAAAGTTTGGAGCTTAATTCGCCCAGCAATTCTTCACGAATTAGTCGACTCAATGTCTAAACGACTTAATGAAGTGATTTTGGCAAAAGGTGGACCGATTGAATATTAATTTTTGATGTTTCTGTAAAATGTTGCAAGACTTTTGCACCCAGTTTTTAGGGTATTTTTTAGTAGTTTTGTCATTTACTTTTTTGCTTTACGCTGAACTTTAAATTTGTTTTTGTAAATAAAGTGTACATATATTATTCTAATTAAAAACAAAAAAGCCCTAAGAACGGGTGGCATTTTCTATAAAAAAATTTCATCGATTTTTTTGAAAAATTGATGTTGCAAGACTTTTGCTCGGTACTGTAAGTTAATGGAAAACGTCAAAAAATTTATGAAGAAAATAAATTCCAAAATTTGGAATTTGGAATTTAAAGGTCTATGTGGTGTCTGGAAAATGATTCAATTCGAAAAGAATTTTTTTAATAAAGAATTTTCTTTTTCATATATAATAAATCGCTTAAAAGAAGTTAATGGAAGAAAGAGAAGACACATTTCAGCGCTTTTACGATCAAATGCAGTATCTGAGCAGCCATATTTTTGTTTT